TAATCAAAAGGAACTATCAGCGAAGTTGAACGGGCGGGAGTAAGTTAGCGTCACGTGACCAGGACCAAAACAACTCGATGCGCTCTTTCAGAAAGTTTTGCGCACACAGAACTGTCTGACAAAGGTTGATCAACCCGGTTTGACTGACAGACAAAAGGTTGGGATTTTCGTCACGTGTCGCGGATCGATTCGCTGGACAATTAGCAGCAAAGCCGTAGCAACCGACAACGCAGAGTCACGATTTGATTTCTCCAGTTTTATAAACGACTGAGCAAATGCTCCGGCATCCAGAAACGCTTGCAGACAGACAAGGACCTGTCCTACCGATGTAATTGAGAGAGCCCACGGACTGAATGGAAGGCAGGCGAATGTGAACGCTTGTTTCCATACTTTTGGAGAATTCCCAGGCAGCAAGCTGGTTGAGCCGCGGTTGTGCTTCGCTGCATACCCGAAATTATCCATGGATTGTGGGTTCAATACCACGTACAAATAGAGAATGTCACGTCAAATGGCTGAAGTGACTGAAGAGGCATTTGTTTTTTTGTTGTGCAAGTCATTGGTACGTCTGGTTGCGATTACCTGGACGGTATACATTCGACACATTAGAAATGCGTGACCGATGTGAACCTATCGGAGCAGGTAACGCCGCAAATCAACTACCCAAAATTGTCAATAATCGAAACAATGAGATTATCCAACCATAACGTAATCACTAACCAGCCTCAGTGGAACTTGGTGCTTCGATTACGAAGGAAAGATGTCCAACGGCAGGGGTCCAGAAGCTGGCGTGAGACGAGATCAAACAATATTAAATCTAATGTTCACTAAACAATGTGGAATTCCAGACACAGGCGAAATTGCTTTCCGATGCAAAGAAAAGGCTACCCCCCCCCCTCGAAGCCCCCCCCTCTTGAAGCACGACAGAATCCATAACGCTATCGTTTGAGCAGTCCTCCTATGGGCTGATAGCATACCTCTGACTCTACGGAGTTCTGAGCCAAGCAGTATCGCTCCGTCCGATAAGAAATCCAACGAAATGAGCATTTCTACCGCTACTTAATCCTCTTGACGGTTTTGAAAACTGGCGCGCCTCCGACGAACGTCAGAAAGAATACTGCCAGGGTATCCAAGCCTGCATGAGAGAGAACGGTCAAGACAACGCCACCCAAAGGCTTTGGATCAGAACAGGTAGCGTAAGGTCATCATCAGAGTACACCAACGTTTGGTAAACAAACAGTCACATATGGTCCACCTGAAGGACCACACCTCCAATCAGGTGGGGCGTTGGCGGGAAGCTGGTAGTACATCACAGTCACCAAGGCGGTGAATAAGGCTTTCCATCACGTAATATGCATGCCTAGCCATCGACTATCAAATCGGTTTTCTGCTCTGAGAACTTTTTAGCCACAAGTTTCTGGAGAACTGGACATGATATGGCTGCGCGGAGCGACGGTGGCTGTAGCCAAACCTCGCGCCCTCCTGGTTGGAGCCTACGCGTTGCTCTTGTAAGTGATCAGAAACGTGACAACTGACCGATTCCAGTGTCAGACATACCGCCACCTCCTAGCTGGACTGACTTTTTTCAATTGAGAATGCATCAGGTCAGGTCAGCGAAGCCAAGCTATGATGAAAAATGGAGATTCCCTACATCGGGAATCATTAGTAGTGCGCATTTCACGAAACTCAGAGAGTTTCTAATCCAGGGCCCTCCGGACGGTGGTTCAACACCTGATTGTTTGGTCACGAGGGGCTGAATGGCAGTGGGATGCCTTCTACCCAGAGTATATACGCCAATATATTCTTGGCTTGCAACGAGTGGGGTTTGCAAAGGATTCCAGGAAACCCCCACAGGACGCGTTTACCTCGCTCTTGTTCAAAGATGTAAGTAACTTGTTTTCGGTCCCACCATGTCACAACTCGCTCCATTTCTTCCCACTCTTTGGTGAAGTATCCGTCCCTCATGGCTGTATGGCAGATAGGGATTATAGTTTGCTGTAGCACGATTTCGGTGCCTGGATATCATTCCGATGAAAGAAGGCACGAGGGCTGGGTACCGCCAGGTTATTTAAGCGTAGACAGGAGCAGTCGAAATAGCAGGGGTTGGGTTCGAACCACAGACCTTGCGATTCGTAAGCTGGGGCCTTAACCAAAGAGCTATCTAGAGTTATGAATCAAAGAACTGCCGTACCGTTCTTTCCTTCCTCTCTTTCGGTGCAAACACAGGGCTCGAACCTCCCATCAAAAGCCCATGTAACTAAACCTTTGTGCCGTTCTGACCAATCAGACAAGAGTGACCTTGATGTCCCACAATTCTTCACGACAAAAGAAATAGAAACATGATAAGCGCTATAGACCACTGACGTATCACACGCGTTTTCCATGTGCACCGGACAGACGAAGCATGTGCGACTGAGCGAGGGTAATCAATTGAACCCACGCACATCAATCACAATTCGCAAGCGACATCCTATGAAGATGAAAACAAACCGCTTTTAATCCTAGAACATCCGAGTAAAACCAGTGGAACGAAGAATCGAACTGTGTCAGGCAAGTACACAACTATGTAAGGGAAAAATCGATGCCTTGGAAAAATTTGGTGTCTGCTATTCATTGGTCTGACAGGTTTGGAACAAGATGACAATGTGAACGCAGACCGGTCGTTGCCCGAAACAAATTCTACCAGCGAATGAAGCGTTACCCCTCGGTTTAGCTGAGACTATCTAGGTCTGTCTATACACCTCGGCGATGTGCATTCGGTCAAGCCGACCGAGAACACTAATTAAAGACACAGAATAAAGAGGGGCTTGAACGAGAGCAAGTGTCCCAGAAGGGACACAACGGTGACCGGTCAGACACCCCAGAAAAGATAAACAAGCTGCCGTTTCAAAAGCTCCAAATCAAATTGACATTTGGCAAAAACCGAGGTTCCCATCGGCTGAGTTTGTTTATCGTGACATTCACAACGCACACACGAATTCTGATTTGAATCTGCAGGTCGCATACTTACCGTATTTGCCGTGTTTGGACGGTGTGGCATCCGAACCGGTACAGCAGAACGCGCAGCAAGGCGGTGAGTAGTTCAGACCGCAACCAATGCCACTGCTGGCAGCGCCACAGCTGCTGTTGCTACAACAGCTGCTCGACGTTCCACCGACCATGGGGCAATGCGAACCGGATGATGTGGAACAACAGGAAAGACTGATAAGGCCACTGCCATATTCGCTTGTCTCTGACGGGGTCGACGAAGTGTTTGGTGTCCGTTTGGTGCCTGTACACGCACCACAAACACCACCACGAGACGGAGTGGAGCAAGACAGAGCGTTTCCAGTGGACTGAATGACTGAAAAAGAGCGAGAAACATCAAGAAACTCGTGTGAAGCGCTGGACCCTACTAACCTGTGTGGCGGGGAAGACAGTTGAACAAAAAACGGCCCATAGTGCTGATCACGTGAAACTTGGAAACGAATAATAGCAATTTACATCCTGTATAGCCCAGTTAAAGCAGAGTATCACTCACTGGCTTCACATTTGCGGATGGCAGCGGCAGCGGCCCGGGTGAAAGTTGCCCCAGTGGGCTGAGGAGAAAAGTACATTCGTTGATGTTGTGTACAGCACGGCATGGTGGGATGACCGCTCGTCTGAACGGCGTTCGTTCTGCCTGACCATTGACAACCAGAACGGCTGGTGGATCGAGCCGATTCACCAGCACTTGGATGATGCCCTGATGCTGAATGGACGTAGGAGTTGTTTGTGTTGCATCCAGCCCCGTGTCTGCTTGACAAGAACCGACTGGAATCGTTCATTGACGACGGACCACGATGGGCTGCTCCACCTGAGGTGATCCCGTTAGACGCCGTAGCATTGCTAGTCGACCGCGTGGCAAACGACGGGCCGGAATGTGTTGAAGTGGAACCGCGATTCACAGGTGTTGAACTGGTGGAGTTGTTTGTGTTCACGTTCGAGCCTGGGTCTGCTTTCACACTAGCCGCCTTCATTGCATTTGCTTTGCGAGCCTCGCGACGACGAGCACGCTTTGTGATCTCTTTCATGTGTTTTGGACCAGGACCTTTTTTACTGTCTAAAACCTGATGTGGACAAACAAATAATGCGCATCACAGCAAGGTGATTGAAAAAGAAGAGTACTGATATTCATTCAGCGGCAACACCCTTTTGATGTCCAGTTGTCCTGCCACCCGAAGGAAGGCTGAGATACTACAAAAGTTTCCCAAGCCTAGAGAGGATCAACCAAGACATCGGGATTGGGCTCGAACCAGGGGCTGTCCGGTCAGTAATTTCGTACCTTAATTAATGAATTACCTCGAGCTGAGATGGTATGTGAAGCTAGGAATAAACCGAGTTCGGCGGCTAACTGCCATGCCCCCGGAGGGAGGCACGAGGCTTGGATATTGGCTTGGATATTGCCAGGTTACCCAAGCCTAGACAGGGGAAGTCGAGAGACAGAAATCGGGTTGGGACCAGGGACCTTCCAGTCAGTAAATTCGCGCTCTAACCAATTGGTCCATCTCGCCCCTTATTGACTCTCCAAACACATCTGTTCCACACAACCCCTTGGTGTTACCTTCCACATGCCCCGGCATATTTACAAATACGAGGGATATGGAAAGCGCACTGAACACAAAAACATAACACCACGAAGAAGACGGCAAATCAGACGGAGTTCTGGTAGCGATCGTTTCACCCAATTCAATGGTGTCTTTTCACCTACGCTTTTACATAGTTCTTCTATAGAGGAGAATGTTGGTAGCTCAGGTAGCGTCGATGGTCGTTGGCTTGTTCGCTGAGCTGGGCAATTTGGTTGCAAACGTTTCATCACCAATCGAGGTGACATCATCAGTGCGTTCTCCTGTCCAACGGATGAGATGTTGAGGCCATCAGTCTCTGAAGAGACTGACTGAAGTTTAGATCAATTGACAAAATGGAACGAGAAGAACGCATGGTGCCCCTAATTGGCAATGGCTGTTGAGTCAACACCCTTCCATCTATTTTTTTTCCCAAGTAGAAGAAACCTTGGACGATCGCTTTTGTGGAACGAGACATACGAATTCAATCCAACGGCATTTGGTCTGCTGCATGTCACGTCAGTTGGCTGAGATAAGGCGACCGTTCCCAGTGAACGATGCAAAACCGCGCAGGTTGATACTCTGCGAATTGTGTCGCTAAGCGTCAGAGTATACGACAATCCAGATAGCACGCACAGGTTCGCTGCTACGATTGCGCGCTGCGATCATGGGGCGCACACCGTCGAGGTATTCACATGCTTTTGTCTTTTAACCAGTTTCGGAGTCAGAATCACACCAATTGATGGTGGAACGATGAGAAGAACTTCGACCACTGCGGTCAAATTTGACTGCATGCCTAGGCAAGAACTGCCCGTTTTATGAGTACCAAGTGTTGTTGTAGATGAGTCAAATCCGTAAATCAAACTCACGACGAACAAACAGAAACAGAGTTAAGAGCGTCCTGTAGAATAGATATCAAGTGAAAAACGCGCGACGTTTTATGCCCTGAGGTGAATTTCACTAAGTGAATTATTCGAGGGGAATTGTCGAAAATTCCCTGGTACGATCGACTGTTATACACTTTTGTACTTGCTTCGATCGATCAAGGGCAGCTATTGCACACATATGCAAGAACCTATGGTGCGATACGTTGTACCCGATTCACACAACACAGGTAAATCACTACCTTCGATATAAACCTGGCCAAAAAAGTTGGCACTTGATACACCCACAAGCGGTGGAAGTCCTTCGGGTTTAGCAGGAAAAATAAGCTTTGTATTCTACTACCTCTGAGAACGACTTCCATAATGTTATCTAAACAAGTAGAAAACATTTAAACTATCATCATAATCATTATCACCATCACCATCATCACCAACATCATCATCATCATCCTCACCAACATCATCCTCACCATGATGATCAACATGATCATCACCATCATAATCGTCATCATCAGAAGTACCCTCCCTACAGTGAAACATCCCTAGACCTCCCTACAGCATACGGAAGCTATCGAAGCGGTAAGAGTCTAGCGAGTGAAGGCGTTGCCATATGCCAATAAAACACAAACCCCGCATGTTTTTATTCATGAAAAATGATCAGCAGTGGCCGTTGTTTTACCAGGGGTTTAGCCGTGATAGCAGATGTGATGTACCGCCGAAAATAAGATATCCGTGCTGTTTATCTTTGATTCAATAGGCGTCAGCGACTGTTTATCCCTCCAAGTTCAAGGGGGGAGGGCTATCAGTAAACAAGTGATACAAAACCCCATCTCGGGCAGCCCAGACAGAATTAATCATTTAAACAGTAGATCCTGACTGTGGTTCATATTTTGTTCATCCAACTGCGTGAGGACACAGTGATGCAACGCCTGCTAAGCAAAGAACTTGTGAAGACAGCGTCCTGGCATCAACGGAACTGAACGCAATGGTTCAAGGCAACACCAAGCGGTGTGGTGTATGCCTAAATGACCCCACGTTAACTGTACGATCTCAAAAATAGATTTTCGGCCAAGATTGACGATGGATCATCCTAATGCTGGCACGGTGGAACATGCCGTCGGCACACCCCCCCCCAGTCGCAAAGAAAGCTCATGCGGCTAGGGAGAAGAACGTCAGCAACAACGGTGTGAATATTCTGTGGATGATCGAAGGCACCCGAAGGTAATGATACCACTATAACGAATGCCAGCAGGCTGAGAACGTAGTATTTCGATGAAAAATTAGCGTACCTTTCAAAACGAAACTGACCCGTAACGGTGGATAAACAACCTTATAAGTAGTGCATTACGTATCGCGATATCTCGNCCAGAAGAGGTATGTCGTCTGCGTACTCGATATCTGAACGAACGCCCCAGGAGCGCTTACACAGGCATGGCATTACAGGCTGATATTGAATCTTCCATGATCGTATCAATGACGAAGCTGAAGAGGAAAAATGAAAGAGGACAGCCCGGTCAGGCCTGTCAGACACCACTTGATGTGGACTCAGGGGAGAGCTTTCCTTAGACCTTTACACGGCCGCGGGAGTTGCCGTACAGCGCCTTAATGAGGGTCAAGAATTTACGGGGGAATTAGACTCATTCTAGTGTGACTGGCTACCAAAACACTATTTGTAACAATGTATGGGCGCTTACTGTATTACGCTACTGACGGTAGCTCAATTCAAGTAGCCCTAGTGTGATCCATTTTAAGAGGTCACACGTGAAATCTGGCCAACGGGAGCTACCAGGGCATTGAAATCTTCTTGAAGGTAGCTCTTGGGAGAGCTGCCGGCAACAGCCGTGGGTCAATGCGTTTGCTGCCAGGATGGCCTTGAGGGTTGTCCTATGTTCTTCCCAGGTGTGTGTCAACGGTCAATCATGCAATGAATACCAAAGAATGGGTGCAGAAAAGAGTCGGTGGCGAACTTCCTGTGGTTTAAACGAACTAACTGTAGTCTGTCATTTTGCGCTTTCCGAAAACTGAAGACAACGGCAATTTGCACCCCCTTCAGTTCCTCAAAGATGGGTTCTTCCTTTCAGCAACCTCGTGAGTAGTTTCCTTTATGAAAATATACTGCGATATCTCGAATATTGTGCCAAAGGAAACATGAGGCGGTTTGGGTGCAGCACATTCAGTTGAAGAATATCCTAAACGAGTAATTCAGTTGGGTCTCTCGTGGAAACCAAAATGATTTGCAAATGAGTGTACGTCTCGGAAACAGTCCAATTTGGGTTCAAGTAGAACATAAGGTTGACGAAAACTCGGGGACTGCGCCTACCTGATGAGTCCAAAGAAGGGCGAAACCGGTCGTGGGCTGTCGAAGAGTTTTCAGAAACCTTGTGAGCAGTTTCCTTCCTTATTCGCACCAACACCCGAGACAAAGTCTGATTGCCCATGAAAGGTGTCCTTTAGCGGGGTCGAGTATCACATTTTAGTGGGGAGAGTAGTGAGTTGTCCAGGCTTTTCGTTCCGATATGGCGCATTCTTGATTGGCCTTCACGTCAAAGTGACCAAATAGGTTTTTTATGAATGACTGATGACAAACAGATTAGACCTATCACCGGAAGAGGGCGCGAAAATTAGCCAAGTCATCCGCCCTAGGGGTTGCCAGACGCGAGGAGCAGCCTGGCTGCAAGGGCAAACGATGAAGCGCAGTTGTCATCAGCACTAAAGTTGTTCTCAGAGCTGTACATTTGGAATGCAAACAATCGATTACTGAACCTCTCGTGGACGTGTGAATGAAATGATCGGTTGTGGGGCTCTTTCGGTGCAACTTGAAGGAAACACGGGGGCTGGGTTTGAACAACAGACATTCCGGTAATAATTTCACACCTGACCGCCGAGCTGCCCTGGTCCGTTTTCCGCGATCGGTACAACTTAGTCCAAATGCTCCCATCTTTCCCCAAAACGCACATATATATTTCCGCCCCTTTGGAAATATACTTTGAGATATAACACTTTGAACTAAAATAAACTCATTGCCTCTTGCAGCCTGAACATGACCGTAAAATTCTATATGAATCTCCTCACTGATGAGGAAGTAAATCGGAAATAGCGAAGGCAAAGACTACTTGTAAGTAATGTTTGTGCGTTTGGTTGTATGGACCACGTTGAATGCGGAACTGTATCAATTGGTTCAGCTGCTTGAAAAATAATTTCTGAGGTAAACTGGTATTTGGCCGACAGGGTTCGAAGAGCGTGGCTACATTTCTGATGAAATAAATTGATGTAATACAACTGACTACTCATATTCCACACATTCCAGCAGCCTAGTAGGAAGGGGACTCGAATACTCGAAAGTGTAGAAATGTGGACAAAAGAGCTGATCAATCTATAACACGAGGGAGACTATTGTTGAACTCTGAACTTCTGTTCGCGGCGAGACAGTTTCATTTCATATTTGTCCCTAGGTACGATGAAAGCAATTCGTGAGTGTGTGGGCGGAAAATGTTTCACGTGACATCTGATGCTAGAAAAACGTATCTGTTTGGATAACATGATAAATGATAGGGGCGCTTTTCCTCTCGGGTCAGTTTGGCCCGAAACACAACGCACTCTTGGACATGCCAACCACCGGAAAGCAGCCAACAAACTTGCCGCCTGGGCACACAATACAAAACACGTGGCACTCATCGCAAAAAGTGCGGTCAGGAAAGATAAATGCACTATACAGTATGCTATAGAGTGCATCGGCCGTACAATGTGTAATGAGATAGCTAAGTGGTAGTGACGGCAGTGGGACGGGAGCATCGTTTAAGGTGGGAGATTAGAAGAGCATTCCTTGTGTTCCGTAATTGGGTCTCCTTGGGGAGGTCAACAGCTAACAGCACATCTGTTTTCTGGTTAAAGCCCTTTGTAAAGCCGTTGTTTAGCTGCTTGTAGGACGTTCACATTGTCCGGAGGCCAGCCACCCCTAAAAACCGATCAGCACATCAATCGGACGGACGAGTCACGTGCAGGCTACGGACCGAACGAAGGCATGCTCTAATTGGTCAAAATGTCAGCCAATCAGGATCAAGCATCGTTAGCATGGCGCTTCTTGCCCCCTTCGAGAAGATTCCAGCACGAACTTGGGGAACATTCTGTGAGCAGACATTCCGGTAATAATTTCACACCTGACCGCCGAGCTGCCCTGGTCCGTTTTCCGCAATCGGTACAACTTAGTCCAAATGCTCCCATCTTTCCCCAAAACGCACATATATATTTCCGCCCCTTTGGAAATATACTTTGAGATATAACACTTTGAACTAAAATAAACTCATTGCCTCTTGCAGCCTGAACATGACCGTAAAATTCTATATGAATCTCCTCACTGATGAGGAAGTAAATCGGAAATAGCGAAGGCAAAGACTACTTGTAAGTAATGTTTGTGCGTTTGGTTGTATGGACCACGTTGAATGCGGAACTGTATCAATTGGTTCAGCTGCTTGAAAAATAATTTCTGAGGTAAACTGGTATTTGGCCGACAGGGTTCGAAGAGCGTGGCTACATTTCTGATGAAATAAATTGATGTAATACAACTGACTACTCATATTCCACACATTCCAGCAGCCTAGTAGGAAGGGGACTCGAATACTCGAAAGTGTAGAAATGTGGACAAAAGAGCTGATCAATCTATAACACGAGGGAGACTATTGTTGAACTCTGAACTTCTGTTCGCGGCGAGACAGTTTCATTTCATATTTGTCCCTAGGTACGATGAAAGCAATTCGTGAGTGTGTGGGCAGAAAATGTTTCACGTGACATCTGATGCTAGAAAATCGTATCTGTTTGGATAAAATGATAAATGATAGGGGCGCTTTTCCTTTCGGGTCAGTTTGGCCCGAAACACAACGCACTCTTGGACATGCCAACCACCGGAAAGCAGCCAACAAACTTGCCGCCTGGGCACACAATACAAAACACGTGGCACTCATCGCAAAAAGTGCGGTCAGGAAAGATAAATGCACTATACAGTATGCTATAGAGTGCATCGGCCGTACAATGTGTAATGAGATAGCTAAGTGGTAGTGACGGCAGTGGGACGGGAGCATCGTTTAAGGTGGGAGATTAGAAGAGCATTCCTTGTGTTCCGTAATTGGGTCTCCTTGGGGAGGTCAACAGCTAACAGCACATCTGTTTTCTGGTTAAAGCCCTTTGTAAAGCCGTTGTTTAGCTGCTTGTAGGACGTTCACATTGTCCGGAGGCCAGCCACCCCTAAAAACCGATCAGCACATCAATCGGACGGACGAGTCACGTGCAGGCTACGGACCGAACGAAGGCATGCTCTAATTGGTCAAAATGTCAGCCAATCAGGATCAAGCATCGTTAGCATGGCGCTTCTTGCCCCCTTCGAGAAGATTCCAGCACGAACTTGGGGAACATTCTGTGAGTACCTTACAAATACAGTTGTAATAATCTTCCTTTGTCTCCGTAAAAGGTTGTCTGAAGCTACCGTGCCTTTTGATATACCATAGTGGGTGGAGCAGGAACGATATAGAGTTGTACGGCAAGTCACAACACATACCCAGTACACTGATATTCGGAAAAAACCCCGAGGAGCAGAACCACGCAACCATAAAAGCGATATCCATGAAATGCGACTAACTCATTTAACGGAAAACCTCAATTCAGCTGACGGAGGTAGTGCTCTGTATACATGGTGGGGGAGCGCCGAGTCTCCACGCGCGCCTTTTCGACAGCTCATTCTAATACTGAAGACGGCAATTGACTGAAAAGCTGATGTCGTACAGCTGCTATGGATCTAAGGCTCACGATTCAACCTAGTCTACTTGATCCAAGAAAAAATTACCATTCATCATCAGGGACAACAAGTTGGGGAATTTTCTGGGTTGTGCTGAAAATCAAATCATTCAGGTGTAGCACCCTTTCGGTGTGTAACTGCCACGCTACCCGGAGGAAGTACGAGGTCTGGGATACTGCCAGGTTGCCCGAACCTAGAAAGGGGAATTCGAGGCCGGTCAGTAAATTCGCGCTCTAACCAGGGACTGATGTCAAGTGGTTGGACACGGTCATTTTGATCATTCCGTATATTGAATATCCACAAAATTCTATTAAACCAGGTAATCGACAGAGTTCTATCCATTGACCGACTGAAACCGACGAGCATTTTTTTAAAATGCGTCCAACTGAGTGAGACCTTACAACTTACCTGTGCAAACAGCCCGGTTTGCCTGTCCCGTTGCAACCATCGTTTGACACAAAGCACACAAGCGTTGCACAAGTCACCTGACCGCGCCGCTGCCTGTTGGCCAAAACATCCGGCGAAATGTTCGGAATAGCGGGTACTGATGGTGAACCGGGAGGAAGACGATTTTGTCCCACAAATGCAACAACCCGTTTGACTGCGAAATTGCGATCGGCTGGAACTGGTCCCACCACCGGAGCCGGTCGAGTGGCCACCACTCATTGTCGAATTATGAGCTGACAACGAGGACGGGGGCTCAATTCAACACAGTGTCTATACCGGGAAAACAAGGTCCAAGAGACTGGAATTAGATAAGGGCCAAACCTCTGTGTCATTATCGAGGATCTGGGTAGTGATACAAAGTAAGCGGCATACGTTTAAAACGGCCATTCGAACTGACACTCACGAAAGCTGTTCATGGTTTTTGCTCATGTCAAACACATTGTGACTGAGGATTTAGGCGTTCAGACAGCTTAATCGAGTCAAATAGCATAAATCCACCCATTTTTTTAAAAAAACTTTTCAACAACATAAGGAGACGTTTGTATATTTGTGATGTATTACTCATAAGGTTGCTGAAAATCCGTCGACAGCCCACGACCGGTTTCGCCCTTTTTTGGAGCTCAAAATGAAGGCGCAGCCCCTGGAAACATCACAAACGTAGGGTTCAGCTGGGTTCCAGGTGAGTCTCCCGAAAAATGAGTGTATATTCGCCAATTTCGTGCGATTTGGTTTCAAGTAGAACATAAGGTTGACGGAAGCTCGGGAACTGCGCCTACCTGATGAGCCCCAAGAAGGGCGAAACCGGTCGTGGGCTGTCTAGGAGTTTTCAGCAACCCTATGAGTAGTGCAAAACAAACACATGTATCGCGATATCTCGAATAGCGTGGCAACTGAAACATGGGGCGGCCTGGTGAAGCACATTTAGTTGCTTGGAAACATCACAAACGAGAGGTTCAGCTGGGTTCCAGATGAGTCTCTCGAAAAACCAGATTAGTTTGCAAACGAGTGTATATTCGATAATTAGACGTTCATTATCTTGATGCCCGCTAGACTGCCATAATTGGCATCCCGTGTACGCAGACCACAGGGGAAAATATGCCTTGTCTAGATGGTTAAGGCGAAGCAGAGATACACCGCACCGCTTCACCGACAGTCATGGGCCCAAAAACGTCGGCGCCAAGAAGGCAGGCCACCAAACAGTGTGACCATGTGTGGGCGGTGTGATCAATCAATTCAAATCATACTGGAAGATGCGTTTGGAAAAGTTGTTTCACCTGGAAGCTTCCTCCGAAATTCCGGGCCAGTATCTGAGCGTAACATGACTCAGATTATGGAGTACACACTACTTCTAAGTATGACTTTAGGAGTTTCTGACTGTTCTGAGTTCCACCCAATAAGTCTATGAATTCCAGAAAGTGTGGAATCTGAACGAGCTAGTCTGTACGAAGAACTACTGATCACGGATGAAATTTAGGCATGCAGCAGTGGAGATAACATCAGCCGATGGAACAGAAATGTTCTCGGACACGCCGAGAACTGTTCGGTAGGCAATGATTAGCCATAATGAACCACGGCTCTGGCAGCCTCGAATGGAGTCTAAGGCACCCTAATTTCCTTTGTAATATGAAGGCCAATGCCATAATTAGTTGAATTGTGACCTCCTAGTAAATCACAAAAGAGCCTCTGCGTTGACTGTGCTTTAAATCCACTTGGAAATAACTCGCCTATGTTGACCTATCCANCAAGTGAGCAGGTCACCAAATTGGCCAGGTAATAAGGCAGGCGGGGAACCAATCAGTAAGTCCTTTTCAGATTATCACACTAGATCAGTGTTGAGTGTCAATTAATGGCTCTTGTCGGTTATTGAAGTTATCAAAATCTTGCTTTGGTGGATTGGGGGGGGGAGAGGTTAAATTAATTCCGATCGGGTTTGGTTCGTTAATCTTCCACTTCAGTGAGCTTCAGTTGGTGATTCACCTCGGTTGCCACTGGTAGATTTTCCCTGGTTTTTGTGGGGTCTCGAGTGCTCCGACAATTTAGTTTGAGGGGGGTTGAGGTCAAAGTATAAGTGCTAAAACCCCGACTTCGAGATTGCTGCATATTCGACGCAAGAACTCGTAACCGGAAAGTTATTCCCTTAAGAGGACAGACAGCCTTTGTCTAACATCTGAGCATCGCAAAGCCCACGTCCTGAAAACTGCCAAAACGTATGACCACTGCTAAATCGATCGTTAAGTAGAGGGTACCGTTTCGATTGGGACGTTTCTCAGAACTGTGAGAAGTATGATTGATAACACGGAACGTTGTTGATCGAACTCCGAACTATACTCAAACCTCACATCACGAACGGGGAACAATGTGAACGTACAGCCAAAACTTGCGCCATCTTCCATGCAAACAGCCGAGAAAACTTCAGAAAGATGAAGAAGTATCGTGGCTGATAGACGGTGGTTTAATGAATTCAGCCCAGGATCACAACAGCCAAAGTTTACTAGACACATGTTTACGGTTGTTGATGAAGCACATAGAAGAAATCCGAAAAAGAAAGACCACGAATCCATAAGACATGGAGAAAACAGCCCAGCTTTCAGAGCAACAGACCGGCGCCTGCCTCAAGCCAGTTCATCGATCGTCAATGAAGAGGAAACAACTGAACCAAGTAAGTAATATCGACAAGGTTGTCGGAAGACACTGTTTTACAGACGTAGTAGAGCATAAAGTGTAGCGAAACAAATGACCCTAGCGGAATCTCTCACACAGAATCACAAAAAAAATCAATAGGGTGTTTACAAGGCGCGTCAACAACGGAGCGTCTATATTCACAGACAAAACCGACAAGTATCTAGCGACCGTGGACAAAGAAGCCCGAAGGTGCAATTAGGTTTGGAGGCGTTCGACCTAGTTTCTAGCATTCTGAGTTGGCTTGGCTGAAGCCAGCAACCTCAAAAGATGACTGACACTCACAAGGGTGGGAGGGTGATACGAACGAACAGAAAGACAAGAGCTTTGTCCAAGCCGTGCGATTCACTCCACGTTGATAAGGAAGGTAAACGGAAACCTTTTACCGAAATCGTTCGGTGTGAGAACAAAACCGTTGACGGGATGAGAATTGGCTCAAACTGTTGGTGTGAATTTCACCGCGTCGAAACAGAAGACTTGGATTCAAAATTTCAATTACGACGTGGCTTGACTGCACTTCACCTAATCTACAAGGCAAGCATCAAATGAAAAGTTGGGAATAGTCTTACGCACTCCAGTCTATGCTTGGCAAAATGAGCTTCTATGTTCGCGACTCAGAAAGAAAGAAAGAAAGAGAAAGCGTTCAGCTGTAGCACCCTTCCGGAGCCTAGCTGCCATGCCACCCGAAGGAAGCACGAGGGCTGGGATACTGCCAGGTTGCCCAAGCCTAGAC